GCAGAATGCGGGAATCTCAGCAAGGCATCCATTCCATCAGCAGAACTTCAGAAATCAGCAGTGTTCTCAGTCTGTGTTATGACGGATCATTACACTACCCCCCCCCTCAAGAGCGAGGTCCCTTCGAGCGAGTAACTCAATCAGAGTCCTTGCATAATGCATCGTAGGCGTAGATGGCAAAGAGAGATCGGGTGTGTTCTGTAGGATTCAGGGTAGCAGTGAATTTTGGTTGCTGTTCAGAACTTATCAATCGTTCATAGGCGTTAACGACGCGTGGAGCACTTTGCAGTAAGTCCTTCTTAGCAATCCAGTAGAAATCATCCAACGGGTGGTACAAAAAATGGACTTTGTACTGTCTATTTCTTCCCTTCCCACTGTGCTCGACAATCCTATCAATCTCGTGACCGCCATTGATTGCGCGGGGAATCATCGATTCTCTATATTTGAACGTTTCGGGTGATTCATACGGAAACAACTTCGATGCGTGAAAGACTGGATATGTGCGCAGATGAGCAGGCACATCGATCGTATATGAAGGGCCAAAGGAATCACTTCCTACCTGGTTCAACATCTTCCACGGACCATAGTACTGAGGAAGAAGCTTTTGTGATACACCTTCTTCTTCAGAAAACTCAGACATTTTGACCCAGACATAACTTCCCACTGTGAACGGTGCAGGCTGGCGCTTTTTGTTAGCATGTTTAATCATGGCACTGCGTCGCCTTTCCGTAGCCGCGGCAGCAACTTTGAGCAGGCGATCGAACTTAGCGTTGTAGCCTGGCTGGCCAGGTGTTAGGCCAGGTGGCTGTTCAGGGAACAAATAAGATAGAGGATTGCAGATTTTCCATCCAAGATGCAACCGGTTAGTCGTCATCCCGGTGGAAGAGTGGATGGAGTTGTTGCACAACCCCTGCACAATCGGCAACTCCTCATCCCAAGAGTTCTGATCAGGTACAATTAGAGCCCTGAGAAGTTGGATCACGGTCTGGTTGATCTCCTCGGCCAGTCCATTGGCTTCGGGATGTCAACCAGACGTCATCTTGAGTTTCATGTCGTAGGTCTGGGAGGTGAAATCTTTCCAATCTGCACTTATGAACCTGGTATCCTGATCACTCACAAGAGTCTTCGGGGGGCCATAATGCAGAATGTATCTCTTGTTAAACTCGTTGATCACAAGGTCAGTTGGGGCGTGAGGTGGCAAGGGGATCAAATTCAAAAATTTCGAGAATCGATCAACAATCACTATTACTTGTGAATAATCGTTTCTGCTCTTCTTCCCCATGTCTGTGAAGTCAATGGAAACAGACTCACCCGGGCCATTAGGGATAGGAAGAGGGTGCAGCAGCCCATAGGGCTTCTGTCAAGACGGTTTGATGCGTTGACAAACTTCACACTCAGCCACAAACCTTTGTGCCATTCTTTTCATTCCAGGCCACACAAACTTTTCCAACAGATTTCCGTATGTCTTCTCAACACCGAAGTGCCCACTCCGGCCGTGAGCCAAATCCAAAAAGTGGGTCATGATCGGCTCATGGTTGGGCACACACAATCGGTCATGCTTCTCGTAGCGTCGGAAGAGAAGGCCCTTGCATTCATGGAAATCAGGCTGACTGTTAGGGTCAGCCCGAATCTGCTCAAGGATGGGACTGAGTTCCAGATCCTTGGCAGTATGCTCAATGAGTTCCTCTTTCAAATTTTTACGCAGGTCATAGGAACCTACAAGGCAAGTCATGTACTCAGGGTGGCGAGACAAAGCATCCGCAACATGATTGTAACAACCCTTCTTGTGTCTAAGTTCGAAATCATACACAACAATCTCATGCAGCCAGCGGGTCCGTGTAGTTGAGGGATTGTTCTGTGTCTAAATCCATTTCAAGGTCTTGTGATCCGAGAACATTTTGAAATGGCGACCCAACAGATAGTGCTTCCAATGGTCTAGTGCCTCTCTCAAGGCATAGAGCTCTCGCATGTAAGTGGAGGCAACTACCTTGTGGCTGGGCATACGTTTGCTGTAAAATTCTAGCGGACGTAAGCCGTCGCCGTCATCTTGTTGCAGCACTGCACCAATCCCATACAAACTGGCATCCGTAGTCACTACGAATGTGAGTTTGGGATCTGCAATGCGGAGCACCGGATGACTCACCAAAGCCTCCTTTAGTGCTTGGAAGGTTGTCGTGCATTCCCCATCCCATGTGTAGGACACATTCTTGCTGGTCAATTTGGACAGCGGACGGGCGATGATAGAAAATTTAGGCACAAACTTACGGTAGTATGATGCAAGACCAAGAATAGAACACAGCTCGCGGACATTCGCCGGTTGAGGCCCATTGCGGATGACCTCAACCTTGGTTGCCTCAGGCTCTAGACCTGCAGCAAACAACCGGTGCCCAAGGTAGATGACGCTATCCCTCCCAAACTCAGATTTTTCCAAGTTGAGATGGAGCTGCACTTCCTTGAGGACCTGCAACACTTCCTCAAGATGTCTCATGTGTTCCTCCATCGATTTGCTGAATATGAGTATGTCATCTAGGTAAACAACAACAAACCAGTTAATCTGATAGCGGAACACTTTGTCCATGAGACTTTGAAAGGTGGCTGGCGCATTCGTGAGGCCGAAGGACATGACGGTAAACTCGTACAGCCCATCGCGAGTTTTGAATGCGGTTTTGTGCTGGTCTGCAGGGTCGACTTCAATCTGGTGGTCGCCAAACTTGAGATCGATCTTGCTGAAGACTTTGCACCCACTTGCAGCATCAAGCAAATCATCGATACGTGGCAAAGGATATGCATTCTTTCTTGTGATCCGATTCAATCCGCGGTAATCAATACACATCCGCAATTTGCCTCCTTTCTTAGGGACAAACAGAACCGGTGCACCAAACTCAGACTCACTTGGTTTGATCCATCCCTTCCCAATCATATCATCAATCTGCCTTCGCAACTCCTCCAATTCGCCTGAGCCCATTCGGTAGACACAACCTTTTGGAGGAGAGCTACCTTCAATCAACTCGATCTTGTGTCGGACCGGACGCACGGGAACTCCATGCGGTTCGGCCAAGACTTCAGGAAATCGGTTGAGAAGGTTGCAAATTTCCAGCGGAACTTCCGGAGGGGGATCATCACTCTCAGGAGCAAGCATATCGGATGTCATAGGTGCAGCCAACACAACAGGATTAGAAATAGAGTCATTTGGACTAGAGATGGATTTAGTAGAGGTAGAAGTAGTTGCATCCGAGGTAGAAACAACATGCAAAGTAGAATCATTATGTACAGCAAAAATAGAAGGCACATGAGCAGGCCTAACAAAGGCTATATACATTTGCTCATCAGCTTTGTGCCTGCGCCACTTTTTGCAGAATTGCATTGCATTGAGGAAGGTTACTTGGGACTCGCGGCTCATCCAAAAGGACTGGACGCTCGATTCCCATGGCATCTTTGACCATGAATTGTGAGTCCTTCCACGTGGTTCTTTCACATTGGGCCTGCAACCAGCCCAAGCCAATAACCGCGTCGAAGGGGCACTGGTCAAGGACATAGAAGTTCAACTCATGCGTGATCGTGCGGTCAGCGTCAAAGGTAGTGCGCACACCTTTGACTGCATGCGTATATGTGACAACCTCTTGGTTGCCCACTTGGGTCCGACAAGGATTCGACAAGGTCACTTGCTTCATCCCCAAGCGTGCCGTGAGAAGTAGTTGGCGGTTGCACCACAATCAGCCAACGCACGGATGTAATGACCATTAATGTAGAGTTTGAAGAAGATGAACTTCGTTCTCCCTTGCGCGCGTTCTTGCTTCATATGAGCCCAGCGCGTCAACAGAGCATGAAAGTCAATTTCTTCCAACTCTACCTAAGGCTCCTTGTATAGGATGTGTATCTTCTCAGCCTTGGAATCAGCATCAGATGGGGTTTCAGGAGAGGTTTGCTGAGGCGGATCAGAATCCAGAGAAGGATCTGTACTTACTTGTTCAGCCTCTCCAGCTGTAGAGTGTGCTGATGATGTCTCTACCCCTGTTGCTAGTTTCCCTGCTGCAATCTAAAACATTGTTGGACTGAATGTCCCGGTTTGGTGCAATGCAGGCAAACCCCTTTCTTCACCCTGTGTTTCCACTCACTTTCACTAATTCGGAGATCTACCCATGGTTTTGTGGCAGGATCTTCCGGTTTGGGTGGAATCTTCGCTCCCTTGGGAAGAAGGATAGTGTTAGTGTTGTTCTTCATTGTAGTCCTCGGTCCCTTACTTTTAAAGAGTCTTTTTGAAGGCATTCATAGATTCATCGTCGTTCACATACTCAGACTCATGGCCTGACAAAGAGCAAGATGCCCCAAAGTCTTGCTCCTGATCGTCATCAAGAGAAGATTCCTCCACGAGGGTCTCCTCGTCAGCCTCAAGCAGATCGTGTGCTGCAAAACGGTTGCTGCCTGGAAACCGTTTGCGGCCGGTGATCTTTTTGCCACTTGATCCACCCGGGAGGTCTTGTGCCTCCAACTTGGGTCCGAACTCGGGACTGCAACAGTTCCAGAATGCCCTGCACTGCTCCTTGCTGCAGCAGCAGCAGCGGGGTCTGGACCTGCTGCAGATCTGGATAGGCTGTTGGCCACACTCAAAGAAGAAGAAGTAGTAGAAGAAGACACATTTAGAGGGGCAAAAACAGACTGACACGCAGCACTAGAAGCAGGGTAGGTAGACGAAAGGATGCTTTGAGCTGGCTCCACATTAGTAAACTGTTGCAGCTGGTCACGGTGCTACTGCGCCATCAGAGCCATGTCCTCGCGCAACTTCTTAAGTTCGTCGAACACTTTGGCGAGTTGGCCAGTGTGGTCCTCAACAGTCCGGACGTCCACCAAAGCCCGGAGGAGTGGAACGGTTTTCTCTTCCACCTCCGCATCGGTTAGGGCAGGCAAGGTACAGAAAATGGCTTCATGAGCCTTTACCTTCTCCACCCTCTCCTTCTCTTTCTCTTCCTCCTCCCTCTTCAATGCTTTCTCATAGAAGAATCGGTACTGCGTTTTCTCTGCCTCAGGGGCAGCGTCCATCTGCAGCTTCCAATTTGCTGCAGATGCCATGATGGAGGACGAGGGAATCAATAAGTCTCTCAAGAGAGGTCCGTACTTCCTTACTTGTCTGGGACGAACACTCCTCTTCCCTCTCCTCACTCCCTCAAGAGCAACACTCAAAAGCTTCTCTCTTCTCTCTCTCTCTCTCGTTTGCGACCGTGTAGACGCAGGCATTAATGAAGAAACAGCTTGAAATCAGTCAGAAGATAAGGTAGAACTCCTAGCCGGAGCGGCAATTCATTTGGACTGGAGAGCAGTCAAACAACAAAAAAAGAAATAAAGATCAGAGAGATCTGATCCCGCCACACAGTCTGGCCCGACTACGTATGGGTTCCTCCCAAGCCTAGCCGGACTCAGCTCCGTGAAGACACAGCAAATCAGATTCAAAGTGTACAGCGTAATGCAAGAGAGAATTGAGTGGTGCCCAAGGTGCGAGTCAGGCGGCGGATCGTGCGGTAAAGTCTAATAAAACGTCCCAGCGGAGATCCCCTCCGCAGCGAGTGTCCTGGTCCGAAAGCATGAAGTCCGAGTCCCAATCAGATAGAGCAAGGTAACTGACATCAACAGATTGGGCCTGAGGGGCCCTTCTTGTTTGGGCCTGGTCCCACTAAGTCCCAAACGGTCCCAGTGGAGTCAAAACCGGGTCCCAACCAACAAGAGTTCCACAAAGACCTACTCTGTCCCTACCAAATTGAAAAACGAAATTTTGCCCCAGAAAGAACCTGTACACTACAACCGTTCAGAATGAAGTAAACAAAGTACTGTAGAAAGATATCACATGGCAAACAAGATACTTCATTCATTCACTCGTCAAGTAAGTAGGCAGTTCACACACCTCACACACAATCAAGACTATGGAGGATGGAAGAAGAACCCAGAGAACCCCAACAAGCAGTCAATTCCATGCACACACACATGGGCACCCTGGTGGCACGACACTTACCTGAGTGGCCGGGCTCTTGAGATGAAAAGAACTCACCCCCCTCTCACATAGTCCTCCTCACCCAATTAGCATCGTCTACACTAGTGTCCTATCATCTAGGAGGGTCAACATCTACCCCAAAGTACAAAGCCGGATCCCCCGTCAATGTTGAAGCTCAAAGCAGCAACTTGCAGTCCGTAGGTGCAGATATGGCTGCCACCCTCAAGCTCGCCTGACTTGAGGGGAGCCCTAAAGTCACTCTTTGTCTCCCTTGAAGTCCAGATTCAAGTTGAAGGTTCCCTTCATTGTCGCCTCTCTCAAATTGCATCACGAAGTCCCACCTTGTGTCTCGCCACCACAAACATGCACTCAAGCAACCTGGCCGGGTCTAGTGTCGACCCTACACGGCCCTGCCAGGTGGGAGCAGCTTCCCTTCACCACGCTGCCCCACTTAACCCTAACTTCCAGCCCTAACCCTTTGTGGTTAGCCCTTACCACTAGGGTTAGGGTTATGGCAGCAAAGTCAACTCTCGCCAGCAAGTAGAATCCGCTCTGATACCAATGTTACGATCCTGGCCAATTTCGAAGTATACATTCATCTGAAAGTTCAATGCCATCCAATTGCGAAAAGAAATGAAGGAACTTGAGAGGAAAGAG